CCTTTCCTGATGTCAGATTTATGTGGAGTCCGGTAATTGTCGTTGCTATAATCACAATCTTCTTTGCTAAAAACTCTCGGGTCTCTTGTCTCTGTGAAAATGAGAAAAACATGTAAATGTATTATATATAATGTTTATATGCAGCTTGTGTGTATGCGCGCCACATACACAGTGCGTACAAGATAACTTTTTGTTTGCTGTGGTAGACATGTAAAATATGTGTGAATATATTGTTAGTAATATTGTTATCTTTACAAAGCTTTCATCAACAAGGATGTGACTAACTTTGGCACTCTAAAGAAGAGGGAAAATATTCTGAAAAGAAAAAATTCTAAAAAGAAAAGACACCAGAACATAGATGTGTATGACTGTGCACATGTGCATATGTGGATGTGCGTTTATGCGTCTGACAATAAAGAAAATCGATGTATAATATAACTGTTGAAGATTCGAATCTGCTTGGGAAGTTAATCTCAAGGAATGCCAAACCACACCATTCAGCCACACTGACCACCATCTCTGGGTAATACCTAGGCTGAGTGGGTTTTAATTATATTCAAAGTCTTAGTAAGTCTGTCCATGCAAGAAGTAGGGCTTGGGTACAATGCAATCTTTAAATTCTGATTGTTTCATAATCTGTATACAAAAAAAAAAAATAATAATAACACAGAGAAAAGTGTCAGGTTATAGCATTTTGGCTTTGTATAAGTAATAATAACTGTGACAATTTAAGCACTGGATTGCGATCTTAGTCATAACTAACATATTTAGTGTGTAGTATGTGCATTGGCATATTCAGTTTACATCTTTACATAAATGTATGGAGATTCAGCCTTTTCAAGTTACAAGGGGTGCTTATCAAAGATTTCCCCTGACCCATTATCCATGGATGTTCAGGAATGAAACGTGGAGGTCTTAATCTTTCTCTAATAGGTCCCACCACTTCACCTTCGTTTTATGCTTGTAGAAGTCCACAGGTTGAAGCCATGAAGTGACTTGAAAAAATCAGTGTCTATCTAGGAAACTTTTACCCTTCAAAAATGACTTCATGAATGGAAAGAGGTGAAAGTCAGATGGTGCAAGATCAGGAGAATAAAGAGGATGAGGAAGGATGCCGTAGCCAGAGGACCGCACGTCCATGTGGGCAATGTGAGAGTTGTGAACAGGGGCATGGTCTTGTAGAAAGTAGACTTCTTAGATCAACATTCCGGGCCTCTCAGTTTTGACAACCTCCTACAATTTCTATAGCAGTGAGGTATAGTAAGCTCCTGTAATTGTAGTATCTTTTCTAAGGAAATCCATCATCACTACTCCAAGCTTGTCCCCAAAAACTGAGCATGATCTTGCCTGTCTAGGGTGGGGGTGGGGGGGGGGAGTCAACGTGCTTTGAATGGGCCTCAGTTTCTGGATCAAAGTGATGGACTCAAGTTTCATCCTGTCAAAAAAGTCCTCTTGGTTTTCTTGGCACATGGCTAAAAGATCCTTGGAACAATGGACTGGTTCCTGCTTCTTGAAAGGTGTTAGTAGCCTGGGAACCCATCGAGCAACTTTTGTATCTACAGATGGTCATGAATGATCTTCACAGACCCAACACTAGTCCTAACATTTGGGGCTAGCTGACGAACTGAAATATGGTGATCTTCTAAAATGGCTTTCTCCGCTTGATGAATGGTGTACTCATCAATGGCAGACTGGGTTCACCCTGGGATAGGAGCCGTTTCCACAGACCTCCGAGCACACTTGAATTGGCGATGCCAATGTTAAACAATATCAATATTTAAACAATATTTAAGTATGAAAACTTGATAACTACTTGATACTCCACTGGTTCCATTTTCACACCTTACTGCACCTTCACCGCGGTAACAGAAAACTTGTTAGGAGTGAAGGAATGCAAAACAACACATGACCTATGGTGTGCATCATCATGCATGTGATATTTCAGCCTCCTAGTCTAAGCGGAAGTGGGTCAGGGAAAATCTTAAATGAGTAAGCAAAATATAAGAAGTTACTCATCATAAGTACAATGTGTTTTGGAATAAGTGTCTCAGATCTAGGAACCTAAACCACTAGGCACCCGAAACTCGTGTAAGTAAACTCTTAACAAAATGTATAGACATTATGTAAACATTACCTCCAGATTTCGGCCTTTTCGTTATCCTCTCTTGTTTAGGCTTCCCTGCTTGCTTGGTTTTGCCTTTCTCCCCTCGAGTGTCTCTAATTTCTGTGGCAGTCTAGAAAAAAGGAGGCACATTTTATCATATTTTAGGTCAGTTTCAGACAGAAAGAGCCAGACCAACAGGCTTGAGTCTCATTAGCAGGCACTTAAAACTTATTATCTACTTACATTTAGCAATGCCCTCCCCCCTAAAAAAGTGGCTTGAGTTCAATATTTAAAAGGGATCTTTCCCAGGACTTGAACGAAATTTGTGGGTTTAGGAATGAGATTTTACAGAAAGAACAAAATAGTGAGTTATTGATTGAAAAAAATGCAAATGCTTGGATTTGCAGTTGTTTATTTGCTGCATTCAGCCCTTCTTTATCAAACTACGGCAGTGAATTGTTACTCTAAGAAAGAACAATTAAGTCAAAGAACTGTAAATTATCCCTTTAATATGCTCTACGATCTAAAGAAAGTAGTAACACATCTGGAAGTTTACCCCTGAAGTTGATGGTTTCTTCGCCGGTCTAGTAGATTGTGGCGGTGTTCCTTTTTGTCTTGGAATATCTTGGTTTGTCCCTGATAAAACAAGACTTTATTGAAATAGTTGTGAATGCACTATTGCAGGAAAAAGGGTTGTTAAGAAATCGTTTTAGTTAAATTGTGTTCAAACCTATCATTTTTGTTTACCTTTTAACTATTTCTATTCTTATGGTTCTTCATCTTAATCTGCAATTTATCATTATCATTTTTATGATTCTTAGCATTACAGTCATTATCACTGGGTATTATACAACAACAATAACACCAATAATCATTATCATTAGTTTTATCACTTACTCAACTTCTCTGCAGGTTTTGCAGGCGATGGAGTCTTTCCTTGAGATTTCTTGCGCTCGCGTTTATGCAGCTGTGTTTGGTTACCGAGATCTTTCTTCCGTCTGGACTCCTTGGGATTCTGCTTCGAGCGCTGCTCTTTAGGGCCTTGCTGTTCTGGCTGCCTGCTGCTCTCCTCGCTACTTTCGCTACCTTCTTTATCCTCCTCATCAGACTCGCTGTCTTGCTCACCACTGGGATCGTTGTCTTCTTCATCAGTTGTATACTCGTACCCTGCACAATCGCTTCCTTCACTTGACTGCTCTTCATCTTCTACACTCCTTTCACTTGACTGCTCTTCCTCTTCATCTTCTACACTCCTTTCACTTGACTGCTCTTCCTCTCCATCACTTTCATCAAAACTTGTGACTTCATCAGATTCCTCACTCTTGGAATACTCATCCGAGTCATCTGGCTGGGATTCTTGTGGTTTATGTTTTGTGTTCTTTCCATTTCGTTGCGTCCCTTTTAGCTTTTCTTGCTGGCGCATCTGGATCAGTAAGTAATTGAATCAATATGTGACAGGAAGTTAATGTGACAGGAAGTAAATGCAGATTTTAATTTTGACAATATTAAGAGCAAGATCGTAAGTAAGACTGGAGTTTGTAGTTGTGTGCTAACCCATATGAATCACTGGATCAAGATAACCTGTCCTGTTGGACCGTGAAACATTGTTCTTCATAAGACACCTTTGCTTACTTTATAGTTAGAATTAACAAATGCCTCATCTTTTTATGAGGGAGTACAATACAACACTAGGGACAACGCACTATGAACAAAGCAAAGCACCTATAGAGTGAAAATTTTAACTTTAACAAACGCTGACAGTACATTGAACCATATAAAAGGATATGATAAATTCGTCAAACCTGCGAATCAGAAAGTAATAAGCAATCTAATCTATAGTCTGCTGGCATTAAACCTGGACAATCTGTGTTGATAACAGAAAGTAAACACCGATGAAACGTACGTCTTATTATAGTTTGAAGTCTGGCTCTGTTCATTCCAGCTAACATGAGATATCAAGTGTTTTCGTGTTGTATCTTCAGCACTGTAATTAAAAAGGAAATCTTCAGGCCTGTTCACCATGATCAAAAAATGATACGTATTTTTTTGTGATTGCATTGCAATGGAGCTGTATATCATCAGTGCTCCCAAACTCCTCGCCGGGGAGGGGGGGCGTAATCTAGATACAGGAGGGGTGTGACTCAGTCCTGCGTCGGTGATACAGTTATATTCCTTTTATATAATTCCATTATAATTTTTTTTGACCAATCTATAGATGCAGGCATGTTAAAAGTGCCTTTACACAATAAAAGTAGAATATATTGATATTAGTTATGATTTATTTCCCCAGATAAAGATTATCCAACCCTTACGAATTAAATGGAACCATTGGCACTATAACGAAATAGTATTATATAGTTTATACGGATAAAAAGAATGGAGGTTGAGTGAGAATTTATTAGAAAGTTAAAAAGGGTGCTCTCAAAATGAGTTGGGAACCACTAGCATGGTATATTTCAGCCCTTCCGGCACTCATTTCCTCTGCCATCTCCCTTTCCACAGAGTGATATCAGATATTTTAGTCCCTTCCAAACACACACACAAACGCATTTATATCCCGATGGATCCGGGTGACGTGGAAAGTTTGTCACCCCAAAATTTGGCTGAGGGGCGGGTGATGGGAACGTCTTGTAGAATCCGCCCAAGGTGTGAGTGACGAGAATGTCTCGTCGCAGAAAAAAAAATGATCGAGGGGTAGGAAAAGGTCCAGTGTCGGGGACGCCATGAGTGCACAAAGGATTTCCACGCTCCCCGAGGGTGAGTTTACCATCCGCCAGCCAGGTGTGGAAGAGGGCCGACTCCAGGGAGACGGCCCTAATATGGAAAAGTGTTACTTATTGTTACTGTTATTGTGCTGAGGGTAAACTAGCCGAAGGGATGATATGGAGTCTGATCA